CAGAGCAAACCAGAATGAAGTTACTTGTGCTAGTTAGGTGACATGTGACCAAAATGAACTTTAAAGTGGCCCAGTTTTCCAAAAACAAACAAGTAGAAAACAACCAGGAGCAACCAATTCAAAAGGTCCAAAATCGGCATGCTAAGAATGTCCCTTTTCCTTTTCTTTCTTTCTACTACTGGGCAATATCCCCAGCCCTTTTCTTTTTTTATTTTGAGACAGAGTCTTGCTAAGTTATAGTCTGACCTCGAATGTGCAATCCTCCTGCCTCAGCCTCCCACCTGAGTAGCCGGATCATAGGTACGTGCCCCTTGGCCCAGACCCTTTGGCTTTAATCCTTCATATCTGTCCAYGTGCTGTGGCTATAATAAAATGCCTAGATAATGTACAAAGAAAAGAGATTTATTCCACTCACAGTTTTGGAGGCTGAAAGTCCAAGACTAGGTATCCCCATTGGCTTGGCATCTGGTGAGGGTCAAATGGCAGATGACATCATGGTGGAAAAGGAAGTCAGAGGAAGATTCAAGAGTCCCGCTTGCTGTTTTAGAATAACTCATTCTTGCAGGAAGAGCTAATGCACTCTACAAAACTAATATCAATCCCTTCTCAGGGCTGTAACCAGGTGACCTAGTTAGTTACTTTGAACTAAGCCCCACTACTTAATTGTCCCAGCCCTTCCCAACACCACCACAGTACAGTGTGCACCAGTTTTCAGACATGTGACCTCTTAGGAACACACTCAGGTCACATCCAAACCATGGTACCCTCTAAGGAAAGTAGCTGCAAAATTAAAAATCCACRTCTTTCTTGTCCCTTGTTTCTGTTTTTTTCAGTTTTTTCCTGTTTAAAACTCATTCCTTCRGCTCAGCTCATAGTAGCACCCTTCTGTTTTATAGATGGGATGCTGTTTGGTTCATGAATTGCTAATAAAAGCCAAGTAGATCATTAAACTCAATTTATTGAAATTTTGTTTTCAAACAGCACCCATTGTTTTTCTTAGAATGTGAAGTCCTGGAAAGTTCAAAGACTGAGAAGTATCACAAGGTGTCCACCACACCCATACTTGCTCAGTGGCAAGACCAGTTGGATCCCTGCAATTTGAGTTGGAAGGAGAGGTATATGGGTTAGAACAAAATTGACTTCACCCTGGCTTGAATGTACCTGGTTTATCTTAAGATGGTACTAAAGACTCAGGTGGATCCGGGGAGCCAGGGTCTGATTGTGAATTCCTACCTTGATTCTAGTGGTTTTATCTATTTATGAGATGCTGTGAAACCCCGCAGGAAAAACTAGCCAGGCTTACTCAGGGGCAATCCTGGCAATTATGACTCAAGATGGCTGCAGTCAGTCAAGCTGTCTACATACAAAACTGAACATCAGATGCACAAAGTATTTTATGAGAACTTATTCCAATCTTGTTTGAATTTTTCAGGTCAAGGGGGTGATGTCATCAAGCTCCTAATGCAAAGAGTCCTTAATAATTCCTTATCATGGTGGTTGAATGAAGCCCCAACATCATAACCTCATCAGTCAATATGAAAGAAGAACCACATAGGTGGAGAGTGCTAGAGGGAAGGGGAGAGTGCAGAGATAAGGGGCCGGGTATTTTTCATGTTTTATTGTGTTTAGTTCTCACAGTCATCTTTGAGTAGATGTTACTGGAGGAGGAGAGAAGCAATCTGCCTAAGGCTAAGTGGAGAAAGTGGTACACTAGTGACCTGAGCAACCAGCATTCAAGTTGGTCTTGGAGGGGAAGGAGAAAGCAGAGGCGCTGTTGTCCCAAATGCTTTCTGACCCCACTTTCCTGGATCCCCAGGCAGGAGCAAGGGTGCAGTCGTAGCTACACTGGTATATCTGCCCTGTGTCCTACTCTGTTCCTAAATCAGGTGACAATGATATAATTGGGTACAAGGAATACAGCTCCCTCTGAATCCAACTGCTGGTCTCCTCTAGTATTTTTATCTTTTTCATTAGGTTAAAAAAAAAACCTTTATTATGGACATTATACACATTCATTGTTGGAAAATACAGATCAGCCAAAGAGAAAAATGGCCCAGCATCCCCTTACCTCAGGAAAAACACTACACTTTGGGTCCCAATTCTCCTAAGGATTTCAGATCAACAGGACGCCGTTCTGTTTGTTAATTATCCCTTTCCAATTTGCACGAATTAAGCAACCCCAAGTTTATTTTTATTATTATTTTTGTTTGTTGTTTACACTCTGGAATCGCTTCCTGGAGGTTGGTCCTCTAAATTTTGTTGGGCAAGGGACAAGGATTCAGGAAATAGGTGGGGGGGGGTTCTGTTTGGGGTTTTCAAGTCCTAATATTTATCTCCCGTCCTTGGGACCGAAAGGTACTGCGAGCCTTTTCTCCTGTGGGCATTTCTATTCAAGAACCGCGCCTTCATTTTTTTTTTTTTGCTTCAGCTCTGGCCGCTTTCTGCTCCTTTGCCCGTAGGTGTCTGAACCCTGGGGACAGCTGGCCTCAGCCACGAGACCTTAATTTGTAATGACATCTGGCGGCTGCAGGGGGTGGTCTTGCCTCTCGGGCTCCGTCTCTCTGGAACCCCTTCGGTGTCCTAGCGCGCGAGGCTGGCTGTAGGGAGGGAGGGAGGGAGGATGGCGGCCCGCACCTCCGGTAGCCTAGCAACCGGCGCCTTAGCAACGGGGAGGGGGCGGGGCCGCGGGAGGAAGTCGGAAGCGGGAAGCCAAGTYTCGCGAGAATTGGGTGGCGCGCGAACTCTGAGCGACAGGGTTCAGGAGGGGGTCCAGTCGCGGCAGGAGGCTTGAAGGTGTTGAGGGACTACGGCGGCGGCGGCGGCCCCGGTCACCTGAGCCTCCCCGCCATGGAGGCCTCAGCGGCCAAGCAGCAGCAGCAGCCCGCGACAGTCAAAATCAGGAACCTGCCCTGGTAGGAGGCGGCCCGGCCGCCGCGGAGGGAAGCGGGTCGGCCGCGGGGTGTTAGTTAGGGCTGATGGCAGTTTGGGGACTTCATAGTGGGATGGTCGCACCCCGTTCTGACCCTGCCTACCTGGGCCCTCCCACCGCCCTTGCCTGGCCCCGGTTCCCACCGTTCTATTTCGAACTCTTGCCGGGCTCCCCCGTGTCCCCCATCCTGTCCCCGCAAACGGAAAGTGGCTTTCGCGCCTGGGAACAGCCCGAGGGCTCCCATCCTGCCGCCGAAATGCCCTCTTCCCTCCTGCGGGAACCTTCAGTGCCACCGACTCTGTTATTCGCTTTACCGAACGACGTCACCCTCTTGCACGTTTGATCTTTTAGAAAGGCTCCATAAGGTAGATGCTGTTTGCATTCAAATTTTACTTGTGAAGAAAGTGCATTTTAGAAAAGTTAGAAGACGGGCTTGGGTTTGCATCCTGATTGTCTGGACTCCGAACTTGCATTCTTCATCCTCCCATTGCAATGACTACATCTTAGTGATGCTTTAAAGACTTTGATGGGATTTGGCTTGATTTAGAAAAACTCCAGGCTGTTCTTGTGTAATAACCAGTTAAATTTGTTATACTGAAAGCCAACATAAAATACATAGTTGTGATCATTTTAATATATAGTTTAATGGCATTAAGTATGTCCAGAATATAGTTGTCCCACTATCTCCTTCCAAATATTTTCATTACCCCACATGGAAACCCTATACTTGTTGGCACTCACTTCTCATTATCCCCTCCTCTCCCACCACAGGCAACCACTAATCTACTTCCTGTCTCAATGGATTGGCCTGTTTGGGACATTTCATATAAGTAGAACTATACAATATGTGACCTTTTGTGTCTGGCTTCTTTCACTTAGCATAATGTTTTTAGAGTTCGTCCTTTATTCCCTTTTTTTATATTTATTTTTTAGATGTAGTTGAACACAATACCTTTATTTTATTTATTTATTAATTTTTATGCGGTGCTGAGGATCAAGCCCAGGGCCTTGCACATGGTAGGTGAACACTCTCCCTCTGAGCCACAACCCCAGCCCCATCCTTCATTCCTTTTTAGGAACCAAATCATATTTCATGGCATGCATAGACCACATTTTATTTATCTATTCATCAACAGATGAATAGATATATTCAGATTCATTTTGAATATTTCAAGTTCATTTTGAAGTGGAAGGTGTCCATCCYGGGGGAGATTATAGGCATATGGCTGAAAAGATGAGATTAGAGCTGTTTTCAACCTCAGCACTTTTGACATTTGGGGCCAGATTCAGGGATGCCAGGAGGGTGTGGACAGCATAGATGTCCTGTGCATGGTAGGATGTTTAGCAGTGTCCCTAGCACCTAYCCATGAGATTCCATTAGCCCCCTCCACCAGCTAGAATAATTAAAAGTGTCTGCAGATGTCACCAAATGTTCTCCAGCAACTAAAACAGCCTCTGGTTGAAAAACTGTGGTCTGTCTTCAAACTTAAAGGATTTGTTTCTTTTCTCTTTGAATTGGGATATGAAAGACTTCTTTTGCACATAATATAATATTCTTGTATTTATATATGTTGTAATGTGCTAAATTACATTTCAGGGTTGAAAAATACCGGCCACAGACACTGAATGATCTCATTTCTCATCAGGACATTCTAAGTACCAGTAAGTATCCATGTGTCAATTGCTGTCCCACTTGTAGAACCTATGTAAATTTCTTGGTGATATTGTCTCTGCTGAGTAATCACTTTAAAGAAACTGTTCGAGCTTTCTAAGATGTGGCTTTACAGTTTTTCTTACCTGCATCTGCCTTTGATTGGGACATTGCATTAGGTTGAAGTGCATTCAGCCCAAGTCAGAGAGCCACAGTGAATGAAGCACCTTCCAAAGACTGCTGGCATCTCTCTTTCTTTCTGATCCTCAGTTCAGAAATTCATCAGTGAAGACCGACTGCCACACCTGCTTCTCTACGGCCCTCCAGGGACAGGAAAGACATCCACCATCCTAGCCTGTGCTAAACAGCTATACAAAGACAAAGAATTTGGCTCCATGGTCCTGGAGGTAAATAGGATTATTCTTACTCTACAAATGACTAAGGACTCTAGCCTTTTAACTTTAGTTCTGCTAATTTTATTTTACTTTGAAAGTAAGCTGCCCACTGGCAGTTGGGAGAGATGTGGGTCTGGAATAAGGTGTTTCACTTCACCTTTTGCAGTAGTGGTCTGCATTGGCATTGGTCAACTCCAGGGCAGTTGCCTAGGTGTTTTTCTTTCCTGTTGCCAGCTTTTACCAAACTTTCCTTGATGGCACTATTGCTTCCTATCTGCTGCGTGGCCCTTCTTAACTGTTCTCCCCATTCCACTGCCCTGTTCATGCTCCGAAGACTGAGCTGTACTAACTATAAGCTCCCTTGCTCTTTGGCTCCTGGTTGGCTTTGGCTGAAATGGCCGAGGTCAGAGGACAAGAAAATGATGGCTGGACCTATCCCCAGGGTTAACAGCAGGCAGCAGCCCCCACTTGCAGGCCCATCCCATGGTAAAGGCCGCCCCACAGCCTTCTCCAGGGACTTCCAGCCCCTGCCTCCTCCAACACCTTCAGGCTTGGGGGTACTACAGAGCCCTGGAAAGCCCCATACCCCACCAACACATTTTAAGACATCTCTTCGTTTAATTCTCATTAATCGTGGCATACTCAAATGCCATCTGAATATTGTGGGGACTTTGACTGATGCATGTAGATCACAGAAATCTAAAGATTTTCTTTTGCAAGGAAAACATTTGACTTACTCTTTAGACATGGGTCTCAGAACCTCACTGCTGCCACTGGTCCTACCTCAGTATATTTATAATGTGGTGACCCTGAGTTGTTCTGGGTTATGATAGATAAAATTAGCATTGTTCTGTTCTTTCCAGACATCCTCTTTCCTAGCTTGCGCTAGACAGTTATACAGAGATACAGATGCAGTTATACAAAGATCGGCTCCATGGTCTTGGAGGTAAATAGGATTGTTCTTACTCTACAAATAACAAAGGACTTCACAGGTGCTGTTCWGGGTAACCAGGACAATTTTTTACTTCCCAAATTTGGGTAGAAAGATTGTCCTCAAAGGGTGAGAGAAAAATTGCCTTTCAGAATATAATGTGATGATTAAATTTTTAGTATAACTGTCATCTTTTTAAAAAATAAAAAAGATTCTCTCTTAGCTATCATTAGCCTGGAGAACTAGTTTGCTGAACTGGATTGATGAAAAGATGTATTAAAACCAAGAATTCATATAGTAAACAATGTGTTTTTCACTGTGGCTTCTCTCCTCCACATTTAGCTGAATGCTTCAGATGACCGAGGAATAGATATTGTTCGGGGGCCAATCCTGAGCTTTGCCAGCACAAGGACAATATTTAAGTAAGACTCATTTGTGTAATTTCTCTCCCTAGAAATTTTTTAAAAAATATTTTTTAAATTGCCAATGGATCTTTATTTATTTATATGCGGTGCTGAGAATCAAACCCAGTGCCTCACCCATGCTAGGCAAGCACTCCACCACTGAGCCACAACCTCAGCTCTCCCTAGAGGTTTTGATCACTGAGATGATACAGTTTAATTTTATTATTATTATTTTTTAAACTTTCAGCTTAAAAAGGCAAAAATGACTTTGTCAAAGCAAGCATAAAAAAGAGAGAGAGAAAGTTCAGGGGGTGTGGTAAGAAATGTCATGAAGCTTGTGTTACGATGAAATATTGTCTAAACTTGCATTAGCAGTTTGACTCTGGGAAGCATGGACTTTATTTTGATAGTTATCTGAGGACTGATTGCATCCTAAGTCTAGATGAGCGGGTTTGAATTTAAGCAAAAATAAATTGAGATTAAAATGAACCAGGATAGTGGTTTGAAAAGAAGAAAAAGGTGAAGAGGCTGGGGCATACCTGAAGGAGATGGAAGACGCAGATGGTGGGCCGGGCGGGGTTCTGCAGAGCTCAGGCGTAGCAGGTGCCAGGCCCTGGGTTCCATCTCCAGTCCCAGGATGGACAGAGCAAATGGAGGGGGGGTGGAAGGAAGGTGCAGGCGCAGAGCACAGGCAAGTACAGGTTAGACCTGGGTCCCCAGTACGGRTTGAAGGAACTAGGGGCGTTTCCTGTCTGTGTGACCACACGGTGCAGCTTTGGTCAGGGTTCTGGGAGAGCCGGATTTCATGATCAGGCCTGAGACACAAATGCGAAAATGCAAGTTTGGGCCTGGGTGTTGAAGAGACTGGAGAGTCTTGTAGATGTGCCGTTTGTCTTCGTAGGAAAGGGTTTAAGCTAGTGATCTTGGATGAAGCTGATGCCATGACGCAGGATGCCCAGAATGCCTTGAGAAGAGGTAAGAAGAGCTGCTAACATGTGTCCACCCGTGAGAGCCCTGAGAGGAGAATTAGGAGTTCTGGATGTGAGATGCCTGTATGGCTTATTTTCCATCTTGTTCATCTTCTGGTCCAGAGGCTTCTTTGGGTACCTTTCTCCATGAACCCCGTGATCCAGACAAAATACCCTGTAGCCAGGGTGTCCCATTGCAGCAGCTTAAGGACATAAGCCCAGTTGGGACTTAAGTATGACCAGTCACTGGTGCTTTGTCCTCCTTTGTGGCTGGATTCAATTTTAGGTTGGGAATTTGAATCTCTTGATGGTTCAAATCAAATTTCTAAACTATGGCCCTTCTGTCCTCCACACCATTAGATGCAAATCAGCCAGGAGAAGGATGTCTAGAGTGTGCGCAGAAAGCTGCCTGGCTGCTTGCCGAGCTGGGCAGGGAGCGGGAGAATGCTGCTGTTAGTCCCCAGGAGCCAGTGCGTTATTTCTTTGTAGCAAGTTCTGGGGGAGGAGGAGGCAGTTGGCTGTCTTCTGTCCTGGAAGCTCTGGCAGCCTTTCTTCAGCATCGTGTTCCGCAGATTGACTGTCAGTCTGAGCAGATCCCCATGTGGGAACACAGGGTCCCTGCAGAACGATACTGGTGTCTAAGCATCGCGCGGCTCGGGTTGCTGCTCCCTCGGAGTGCTCTGAGGCCTGCAGATTAGGTCTACGGGGAAGTGTGCAAAAAGCCAGTCCCCCCTCCAGCCCACCATGCCACTTCATGTGGAGGGCAGGCTCTCCTGTACTGGGCTCAGATCTTAAGGGATAAGTTGCCAGGGTGCTGCAAATCATAAACCCTGACACATTCAGTAGCTTTTGAAAGAAGATCTCTGGTCCCAAACACCACAACCCCCTGTTTCCTTGTAGGTAACTCCCCCACTTGCATGTAGTGTTGACTATTCCCGTGTCCTCCTGGGACCCAAGAAAAGGCCAGGGTTTTAGGTCCTTTGAAGAATTGGAATGGCCTTTGACCTCAGGTGGTTTTATTTTTCTTCACTAGTGATTGAGAAATTCACTGAAAATACCAGATTTTGCCTCATCTGTAACTATCTATCCAAGATCATCCCCGCCTTGCAGTCTCGGTGTACGAGGTTCCGGTTTGGTCCCCTGACACCTGAACTCATGGTTCCCCGCCTGGAACATGTCATAGAAGAAGAGAAGTGAGTACACTGTAAAGCAGGAAAGTCGAGGTCTTGGGATTGAGTGGAGCACAGGTGGGACCCTGGCTCGCTGGCTGGTGATGTTGTAAATGACTTAGCAGAATGCCTGGCTCAGGGGAAGTATCGGGGCCACCAGCTGCTGTCGTTTTCTCTGATATCTCTTGGACAGTATTCCTCATAAAAGTCATTTGACTCTTCTCGATTCCATCCTCCTCCCCTGGAAGCTGTCCCAATTTCCTCCTCCTCTGTCGCTGTAAACCACATGCTGCCGAGTCCCTTCTGCAGGTGCTGCCAGCCTCTCCTGACTAGAAGGCAAGGTTTGAGGCATTCTGTTCTGAATGATCAGACGCCAAGCCAGGAGCCAACCCAAGCAGCTGCTTATTCTGAAGGATGTGTTTGGGCTCTGTCCCCATGGTCCCACAAGGGCTCTTTCTTCTCAGGGTGCTCATAGTAAGATGGCTTGGACTTGTCTTTCTAGATCTGGGGTAGGCTGAAACTATACGAAGCCCCTGTGCCTAGGAACCAGAGTGATTTCTTGGGGGTTCTGATCAGGARAGTACTGTTAACTCCTTTTTTTTTTTTCCTTTCTTTCTTTGGGGGCCCTGATAATGTGAGGCCATCTTGTTCCCTTGGGTGAATGCTTGTGCTGTCCAGGGACGCTTAAATCCCCTGCCTGTTGACTTTCAGAGTCGATATAAGTGAAGATGGGATGAAAGCACTTGTGACTCTCTCCAGCGGAGATATGCGAAGGGCTCTGAATATTTTGCAGGTATGGTTTTCCTCAAAGTAAATCTCAAGTCATTGCTTCAAAATAACTTTTTGGGAAAGGCAACAGGACAATCAATCTGTAGCTTCAGAAATCTAGAAATGGTAAGACASGTCTGACTATGTCCCAGACCTTTTTACTGTTTGATTTGGCTAATTGAAAGAATCAGTCAAGCCAGGTACAGTGGCACAGGCCTGTAATCCCAGCAACTGGGGCGGCTGAGGCTGGAGGATCGCAAGTTGGAGGGCAGCCTAGGAAACTTAGTGAGACCCTATCTCAAAAAAATAAAGAAAGGCTGGGGGTATAGCTCAGYGGTAGAGCACCTTGGGTTCAATCCCCAGTACTGCAAAAACAAGCAAACAAAAGAAGTATTTGTCACAAATAAGGCAGGGGCAGGAAGGGGTTCTGCAGCTCTAATAGCAACAAGTGGCCAGCTCCTGGAATGAGGCAAGCTCTGACCTCTGTGGAAAATGCCAGGGCCCCAGTTGTCCTGGGCCCTGGTCACATTGCTGCTGCAGTAAGTTGTTCTTGGCCACCTGCAGGTTGGCAGCTGCTGACAGCCTCAAAGATCTCCCCCTCTGTCTGCAGAGCACCAATATGGCCTTCGGGAAGGTGACAGAGGAGACTGTCTACACCTGCACAGGGCACCCGCTCAAGTCAGATATCGCCAATATTCTGGACTGGATGTTGAATCAGGACTTCACCACAGCCTACAGAAGTACCCTTTCTCGTGTGCTCCACCATGGTTAGGGCCTGCGAGGGCCCCCAGAGCTCAGGTTGCAGCCAGCATCTGCACCTTGCTAGCAGAGGACGTCTGGCTGCACATGACTGGCCAGCCTGTTGTGGGAGCAGGCATTTGTAGGCACAGCGGGTGCTTGTCTTTAACATCCCACAGTTTTCACTAACAGCTCTGGCCTGGGTCAGGCATGAAGCAGCATGGCTCACAGACAGGAGGGAAATAGTCCTAGGGAAGAAGATGCAAGGGTTTTAAAGCAGTCAGTGTTGATGCTTGTTTTGCTGTAAATCTAAAACCTCAGAATAGTGATATGAATGCATTTTGTTCTGTTCTCTACTGGAAGGAAAAACAACTGGGCCTTGTAGAGAGCACTTATTGAAGGTAAAATGTAGGAGAAAGAGTTGGGGCCTAACACGTGGCTAGGAATTGGAAGAGAAGCAGCCATGTTGAGATTAAAGCCATCAGGGTTGGGATTCAAAATCCTCTGCAGTGTGTTTGTTCTGGAACTTGTTCTCTGCCTTGACTGCACCTCCCCAGATATCATGGATTTGAAAACTCTGAAGGGTTTGGCGTTGCATGACATCCTGACCGAGATTCACTTATTTGTTCACAGAGGTAACCTCCTTTGTTTCCTGGCTAAAAAGCTGTGGCAGTCACTCCCTTGGATTTCTGGTGGTTACAGAGGGAGCTCACCAGGCTCTTTTTTGTATTTTATTTAGAGATAGGGTCTCCCTGAGTTGCTTAGGGCTTCACCAAAGTTCTGAGGCTGGCTTTGAACTTGAGATCCTCCTGCTTCAGCCTCCTGAGTCACTGTTATGACAGGTGTGCGCCTCTGTGCCCTGCACCAGGCTTTATTCTTGAAGCAAAGAAACAAGGAGGAAGTATTATAAACCTGACCCTCAATTTTTATTAGTTTTGTCTTGCTGTTTAAAATTTTGTTCCAAAAACCTTGTAATCTCTGGAATTGCTGGGTGAATAGGAAAAAACTCCTGAAGACTAACTTTACTTCTTCTAGGGGTTTGTGTTTTACAGCAGTAAGTAGGATGTTTTAATTCACATTTCTACAAGAATACTTACCCTGAGGAGAGGAGGAGGGGAGTCTGTCTTAATGTCAGCCAAAGCAATCTTAAGGACCCATCTCTAGCTCCATGCTTGCTGGAACCTTCTGTAGAGTGGATTCTCAGCCTGGGCAGCACCTAGGGATCACACGAGGCATTGAGTCAGCTCTGGGGAGGAGCTGGATGCAGCATTTTTTCAGGCTTCTGTGTGATCCCCTGCTCAGTGGTTTAGAGCTCTTCCCTCCTCAGTCTCCACAGATGGGAGGCCACCTGGGTCGGGGACTGGGCTGGCCTGTGTAGAGCCAGCTGCCATGGGTGTTCCTGAAACTGAGAACTCGGCTCTCCAGTTACCTTGTAGAGCCACCCAAAAAAGGCAGTGTTGCTGGCCCTTCTGTGTTCTCCTTGTCACTGTGGGATCTCATATACATACTCACACTCACACACACACTTTTTTAAACTACACTATTAAGAATTACAAAATAGTGAATGAAAAGTATGAAACTCCACCATTTTTACTTTCGTAGAGATCTGGGAACTTGTGATCAGTCTGAGGCCTCAGAAGTCCACTCTTACTACTTGATGTTTAAACTCATACTTGTCGGGAGAAGTTCAGTGTTAAAAGTATACTTTTCCTCTGGGTTTTTTCCTTTTGGGGTGGTGGTAGTAGGGGGAGCCCATGCTCATTTGATTTTGTTTTCCCTCAGTGGACTTTCCATCATCAGTTCGAATACATTTACTGACCAAAATGGCAGACATTGAGTGAGTATGAATTTCCCAGTTTTAATTCTTTTCCGCCCCCAGCGCACCCCTGTTGTGAGGTTTTTCTTTCCACTTGTGTGGGCTTAGCATTCTTGATCACCTCATTTGTGGTATAATCTAGTTTGGGATGACAGTAAATGGGATGTGGCAGAGGATGGAGATGCTTATTTAAGTCAGCACAAGGCCAAGCAGATCAGTTACATATTTGAGATGAGGGCCTTTCCTTTGGCCTCAAAGGCTTCACCCACATTCTGAAGATGCTCTCGTTTGGGGGGAGACGTGTTCCAGTTCAGGCTTGTAGGTCATTTGGGGACGACCAGCTCTCCAGGCATTTTGGCATACTGAAACATATTAGGGGGGAAAAGTCAACACAAACTCAATTTTCCACTTTGCCTGGTTCAGTAAACACTGTTATTAGCCCCTAGTGAAGCTGGCAGCTATCATTTAAGTAGACAGAGCATTGGGTTCAAACTAGACATCAGTATAGGCCAACTCTAATTTGCTGTCACTAAGCTTTCATGTGTACAAATTAGGTCACTTATCACTATGCTGTATGATTTTGCTTTTGATGGCTGGGCACTTAAAAGGTGTAAAGATGAACTGCCTGTGTCCTGCTCTACTTACTAGACCACAGACTCCCATAAGTATCAGCCCAACTTCACAGTGAAATGTCAGTTACAAGGAAGGAAATCTCCATTTTAATTCCTCTTAGTGCAGCTGGTAGAAGAAATAACCCTTAATCACATGAATTATGCCCCTCTAGAGAGTTAGAACAAACTAAGTCCAGAACACTGCTGTGGGTAGATTTAAAATTTGTCTTCAAGTTTCAGATTACTAAACCAGTATTAGAGTAAGGAGGGAGTGTCAAGGACACCTGAGTTTGCTGTCAAGGATCATTTTGGATCAGCTCCCACGCCCCTCCTTTGCTCTCCAGTTCTCTTACCCACAGGCAGCTCTCTGTGATGTTCTTTATTCTCCTGTTTGTTTTATTTTAGGTACAGGCTTTCTGTTGGCACCAGTGAGAAGATTCAGCTGAGCTCCCTCATTGCTGCTTTTCAGGTTACCCGAGACCTGATTGTGGCAGAGGCCTAGGTGCTCCAAGCCGATCTCCACCTCTCAGGGCCCATCCCTGACTGGAGAACAGAGGACTCAGTTATAGGTGTGGCTGTAGAATGAAGCCAGTCAGCCCAGGTCTTGGAAAACTCTGGTCCAGGATGGACGGGCAGATATTTACAAAGTACTGTCTTGGTTGTTTGAAACACCAACATAGAAAACAATTTTAACATATACCTATCTTATCACACTGCTTTTTTAGTATTTTTACCCTTTAGTTGCTTGGATAACAGGAAATTGGCCTACCCTTTGGTCTGTAACATGAGGTTTTCTAATCTACTGTGGTCCAAATGTCTTTCAACTCAAGGTAATCACCTCCAAAGTTTATCAACCTAATATTTGGCATTATAAACTTTATAAAAAAGTTCTAGTGAATTTCTGGCCCAAACTGTTCTATTCTTATAAAACAGTGAACACTTAATCTTTTTGTTTCCCCTCTTACAGTAGAATTTGTAGCAGGTTTCAGTGGTGTGGACAATAGGAAAAAACTTGAAATTTTAAACACAGAGCTAGCCTCTGAATCGTGCCATCCCAGGCCATTGCTTACACTAGCTTTATACTGGGAGGGCCTGTCAGATGAAGCCCAACCCGAAACCTGGACCTGCTCAAAGGACTGATCCCAAAGATATAGTAGTCTCTTTTACAATTTTGCTTTAAAGTAAGGCTAAAGCAGCTAGCTTGGTGCTCACAAGTGATGCTGCTTCTTAGCCAGTGTTAGAAATGCTGACTTATCTTTAATTGTACTGAATAAACTTTYTTTTAGGCTGTTCCTTAACAATGGTGTCAAATTCTTAGGCCTCCGTTTAACAGTGGCTCAATTTCAGTTTTTTAGCTTTACAGTGGTACAAGTGCAATGTGTTTAGTAGAAACCAGATTTCTAATTTTGACGTTGGGCTGGACTAGCAACATGCCCTGCACTACTCCAGTGATGCTGGGCAGCAGCAGGGCTGCAGCTCCCACCAGCCGCAATATCATGAGGGGAAACCACTGCCGCCCTCCCATGTGCTGCRGAGCTGTTCAGCCTATCGGTTGTGTGAAAAGCACCTCTGATGTGGGTATTTCCAAATGAAAATGGGTTTATGGAGATTCGGCCCCTTGGTAAGCTGAGGAGCATCTGACATCAAAAGGGAGAAGTAGGTTGGTTATCCCTCCATCTAGACACCTCACTAGCAGTTTGAAGCTATTAGCCAAGTGGGCCTCAAGGAAACAAAACCCCCAGGGCTTCCCAGGGCCCTCTCTATGATACTTCAAGATGGTCATGAAACTAAAAAGTTACCAGCCCATTCCTGCCCCTCCCACTGTACTGCTTGTTCTAAAAGGTGATTGTTAAATTTTATTGTTTCTCAGTCCCGGGGACTGAACCCAGATATAGTCTAACACTGAGCTCTATCATCAGCCCTTTTTAAGAATTTTGAGATGGTCTAAGTTGCCACAAGCCTGGCCTCAAACTTTCCATCCTCCTGTGTCAGCCCTATGAGTAGCTGAGCTTACAGGGGTGTGCCACCATGCCCAGTTGATTCTTTTTTCTTAATGTGGGAGGAAAAAAAGAAACAGAGCCAAAAGCTTTTGTTTTTTTCTTCAATGAAAGCCTTATTTTGAAATGTTTTTTCTTCAAGCAATGAAGGTGATAGAGGAGATTCCTCTTGTCTCATTGTTACGCTGCCTCCATAAAGGATCAATTAAGAAAGCCAAAGAATAAGATGTTGCATTTCTTTCAAAATAATTTAAAATATATTAGATTTTCCTAAGGCAGATTTTGTCGGAATAAGGTGTTTTGATTAGATAGGTACATGCCACTGAGGGAGAACAGTACTTTTAAGGAGCTATTTTTGTTGGGTAGTTGAAACTGACTAATAAGTCTGATGAGGTCAAGCAGCAAAGACAGATGTTGTACATAGAGTATAAGCTGAAGTGCTGACAACACCAGTTCTTTACACAACGAAGACACATCTTCACTACTGTTCCATTTCAGTACTCTGGTTTTTAGATACCATTGAGAAAAACACAGTTGTACCTTAACATCTGTTTAGAAAATACAAATAAATATGATGCTAATAAATGGCCAACAACTGACAACTCAGTAGCCATTTGAACAGTCATGCATTTAGGAACACATCCTCATATAATCTGACATACAAATTTGTCATCTCCTGCACATGCACACCATTGTTT